CTCAAACATTCAAATTATTTCATTTATCACCCATTACCGTAAATCACCTATAACACATTACTTTTACTATTTTATAAATTCACAATAATTTATTTATTTCTATATATTTTTATTATGTAGTAATATATATAAATAATCTAATAATATTTTAATATAATATTATATTTTAACTTTTAAAATATCAATCCATTTAAATTTCAATATTGAAATTATCCGAAATAAATCTAATTTATATATTAATTAAAAATAACATAAAAAATAATCGTAATATAATATATACATATAAACTAAATAATTTAACAATATAACTTAAGAATTATTATTTTTATTGTCAAATCGTGTTCAACAATTTAAACACTGATTGAAAAAATAAGTATTTTTACTAGCCATTTGGTTTAATTGAATATGAAAAGATAGAGAATTGATTAATGAAATTTTAATATATTTATAGATAATTTGTGTTAAATTTAAAACTTTAAAATTTTGAAATTTCAAATTTTTTTGAATAGTTTTTAATTTGTTTTTTTTTTTTTTTGTTAAAGGTAATGAATTCTTGATAAATATAATAAATTTTCATGCATGTATTTCTTATTAAAGTAATGAATTTTGTTATAGTAAAAACTAAAAAAACAATGATAAAGATAATGAGAAATGTAACTATAACTATAACGGATGTTCTTATGCATTATAAAGATTTAGACAACTTTAATATTAATACTAATATACTATTATTGATATTTTTGCATATAAAAATGTCATTATTTTATTTAATTATTTATATTTTATTATAAATAAAAAAATATATTATTTATACATATTTATGGTCCCTAATTTTTGTTTTAAAATTATTTAGACAATTAATGTAATAATATTGTTGATATTTTATCTAAAAAATACGAGAAAAATTATTTTATTTATTTATTTATATTTTATTATAGGTAAAAAAATAGAGTATATCATTTGGGCATGGATCAGGTGCTTATTCGGTCACATCAACACGGTGCTGATTTGACCGGATCAACATGTGTTATGAAAGTGAACAACATTAATTTCTATACTAGTGGGAAACCCATATCATTTATATATATTTAAGGGCTTTTTTAATTTTTTTTAATTTTTTTTCTTTTTTTTGTGTTAAAAAGAAAATAAGTATTAGACAAAATTATTGTTATTATTATTATTGATGTTTTTTGCAGCAAAAAATACTAAAAAGATATTTCTTATGATTTATATTTTTACTATAGGTAAAAAAAGAACTTCATCCGTCCCAATTCAAAGTACTATTTTTACCATTTTCGTATATCCCATTTCAAAGCATCCATTTTCTATTTTAGAAAAGGTAATGATAAACTAATACCAAAGTACCCTTTTAACTTTTACTTAAACTACACATATACCATTAGACATACAATTACTTTATACAAAAATTTAAATGGCAAAAATGTCAAAATCTCTTACACATTTTCCCTAACTAATAAAATACTATTATTTCTTAATTTAATACTCCCTCCGTTCCAAACACCCTGCAACATTTCCTTTTTTTGTTTGTCCCAAACTAATTGCAACATTTTCAAATTTAAAAATAATTAATAATATTTATATACATATATTAATATACACTTCACTTTATCTCATTATATCACTTAGATAAAAAAAAAAAAAATATTCATTTCTCTTTTCAATCACATCACTTAATATCCAAATTATCTCAAATTACCATATTTAATACTCCCCACCTAAATTCTCGTGTCAAACACAAATGTTGCACGATGTTTGAGACGGAGGGAGTACAAAACTTCAAAGGGTCACTTTCAAAATGGACGGAGAGAATATTATATATATATATATTTAAGGGCCCTAACCTTTATATGGCCCCGAACGCTTCGAAAATCAAGATCGGTCTTGATTGAATTCAAACTTGGCGGTACATATATGAAAAGAAGACAAAATTGCCCTTTAACTCTTTGGTGATTTCAAAACTCAACGTAAATCTCCTATTTACTTTAAAGATTGCATAGAGTTCTCTTATATTTTAAAAAAATATTGCATAAAACTCCAATATAGTTTTAGAACTCAACATAAATCACCAGTTTACTTTAAAAAATTGCATGATATTCACTTATACTTTTAAAAATATTGCATAAAACTTCATCGCCATACAAAACATACAGATGAAAAATCATTTTCTCATCGTAGAAGAAAGTTTTCATGGTGGTGGGATTTTATTCAATGTTTTTAAACATATAAAGAACTGTCATGCAATTTTTAAAGTATATGAAGATTTTACGTGAATTTCTAAACCATAAAGGAGTTATGAGTAATTTTACTTGAAAAATATAATAAGGGTGTGTTTGTTTGAGGATTTGGATTTTGAGTTGGGATTTGAATAGTAACGATTTTGAATTTGAATAGTTGTATGATGTGGATATAAATAGGTGTTGATGTTATGTTTTGAATGTAAAATTAATTTTATATATAATATAAAAAATGAAAAATATGTGTTTTATTTGATATTTTTAGAGAGAAATTTTTGGATAAATAGTAAAATTTTGATAAAATCCTTCAAACGAACAAACCCTAAATATATTTATTCAATAACTAATAAATATTAAATGATATTTTAGTTAAATGATATTTTAGCTTTATTCGTATCTTATTAAATAATATTTTAGCGTAGAATCACTTCTATAAAAATATAAGAGATACATTTTAGTATAAAATGAGCGAAAAAGAAAAAATACATATAATTGAAATAAATAGAATATTTGAATATATTTATCAATTATTATTGTATACTTATCATTTGAATAATATTCATATTTACTAATTTTTAATGATAATAAGTAGTATTTAATAATTATGCAAATTATTTTTCAAAGTATATATTAGCGTATATAATGTAAAATATCAACAAAAATAACTATATGAACTTTTTTTTTAAAAAAAAAATAGTAACAACAATAACATTTACCGTGTGTCATTTTATACATATTTTAATATATATATATTTACTAAGATATATTATTTTATTTCGGCTCTAAGGATCTTATTTACCTTTTGCATTATTGTATTGTATACTAAAATATTCTTATATTTGTATAGTTTTTTGCATAAATGTCTTTATAATATTATTATAAGACAGTAATAGAAATATTTTTGTCTTTTTTTCCTTAATTTGTATTATATTTTCATGTAATAATTAATATTTAAAGATCAATATGCAAAAAATAAATAAAATCTTTAAAATCGAACATAAATAGTATAAGGCCGCATTTGAATTGACTTGTGAAACGTGCTTTTACCTTATGCTTTTAAAAAAAAACATTTATTTTTGTTTGCAGTGACTTCTTCTTCAAAAGAGAAGCAATTTTAGGTTTAAAAAATATATTTTTTATAAGCACTGGGAGTGCTTCTGGAAAACACAAAAGCAATTTTACTATCTAAAAATTACAATTTTACCATAATAATAATAACTAATCAAATAAATAAAGATAAAATAAAATAAAAACAATTCATTTATATAAAACTTAAATATAATTGTATTTTAATTATTAAAATTTATATATTTTTTATTTTAATCAAATTTAAATATATAATTAAAAATATCAAATTTTAAAAGTATAAAATTTTAATTATATAGTAGATATTTAATATTTTTAAATATACTTTTTAAAGTTAAAATAATTTGTAGAATAGTATTATATAAATTTAATTATATATATTTAATTTTCATTTTTATAAAAAAATAAAAAATACAAATATAATTAGTTTAGATTATTTAAATTTTTTTAATATAATTTATAAAATTCTAAATAAATTAGAGATTTTTAGTAAAAGGTATATTATTATTTACATTACTGTATCCTATTTGTTCATTTTTAATAGTTTAAAAATATTTTTAACTTTATTATATCTAAATAATTTTTTATAAAAAGCTCATCTAAACATAAAATCTAACTGTTTATGTTTTTGACTTCTACTTATTTTTTAAAGTCAATTCAAACGGACTTAATATTATATAAAAATATATATATCTATCATTGCAGTTTTATAAATAATAATGTACAAATAAATAACAAAAAAAATAAAAATTATCATGGCTCAATTATAAACTAGTAAATATATATTTTCAGAATGTACTAAAGGAATATTATTTTAATTTTAAAATTATTAATAATTATTTACTCTTTTTTATTAAATATAAATTTCATTATTATAATTTTGCCCTAGTTAACCCCGTTGAAGTTTGACAGCCCGCACAGCCGTTTCATCCATCGTCTTTCTTTTTTCTTCCCCTTCTTCCTTTCTCTTCTTCTTCGCCTTGCTGCTCCGCCGCCGTGACTGTGTCATCGGCGCCATTTTCTAAACCGCAAACCACGGCGAACCGGCGGTTTACGGTTGGAACCGGAACCGCCTGTTTGAAATCATAGGCGGTTCAAACTTCGAACAACCTATCCGAAACCGATTGGACTAAATGCGTGTTTTATACTATATACTATCCCACATCGAGAGATTTACAAAATATGAGCAGCAAAACATGTATATAATCAGGCGGAAGGGAACAGGGCTACATACTTACCTGGATGGGGTCAATGGGCGATCAAGAATGTCCATGGCCTGGGTTGGTGACCTCCATTGCACTTGGGAGGGGCATCCGCCTAAGGTCGGCCAAAACGGTCGAGCCTACGTCGTAATTTGTGGCAGTGGGGGCCTGCGTACGCGCGGCCTCCTACCAATTATAGTCTAACAACTTCTTTGTACAATTTGTTTTATATTTCTAACAATTTTTATTTTCCAGTTGTGGGGAGGTATATAGGGGCTGTAACGAGAATTTGATGGCTTAGTTGAGTTTGAGACTTTTGGTAATTGTTGTATGTAATCCCACATCGGAATGGAGCCTTCTGGTAATTGTAATTTGAATCCCACATCGGAATGGCAGTACAGAGAGTATTGTCCTCTTTTGTATATATAGCTGCAGAGAGTGAGTTTATGATTCATGGGGCTGCGTAGTAAGCACAAAGCGAACTATTCTTTCGCCTTTTACTAAAGAATACCGTGTGTTTGCTGCATTGAGCAGCATACACTTATTTTTGGAGAGGTTCTTCCCCCTTTTGTGGAGGACTTCTACTATGCAAGTTTAATTTGTTCTTTAATATTGTTTTGGATTGTGATTATGGTTTTTGAGCTGTGTGCTCTTTTGATTTTTATATTTCCAATCGAAATGGTTAATTTGAGGTTTAAATTTGAAGTAGTAAGTATTCCTTCTTTTTTTTTTTTTTTTTCGTTGTTTTTTATTTATTTTTTTTGGTATTCAAATCATCATTCTAATTTGACAAATTAAACCAAATAGAATCCCCAAGAAGTCATCTAGGGATCTTATGTATGCATTTCTCAAATTATAAGTAAAATAAGTGATGCATTTATAACATAGATAACTCATCAAAAAAACAAAAAGGGTAAAGCTTTTGGGGGAAACTTTAGTGTAGGGCAGATTGTAGTGTGGAGAAATAAAATTAGGGTTGTTCTCAAATAGGTTTCCTCTCTTTCAAGAAGAAGCCTAAACTTTTTGATAACAAGAATCCTTTAATTACTATTTTGGGTCAATATTTTTGTAATCAAATGGGACTTACTCACTCTGCATAAAAAATGAAATAGCCTATTTATTAATCAAACAAAAGTATGGAAAAAACTATTGATAAAAACATTCATGTCACAATTTATCAAGTAGTTGAAAACGTGTATTTTTTGTCTCTAAACTTTTTTATTTTACTATTTAAATTCTACATTTTTCTTTTTTAAAATACACTTGTTTTTTTCATAAAATATTTATTATATATTATTTTAATACTAAATTTAAATAAAAAATTTTCAAACTAAATCAAAAGAAACACAACTATTATACAATAATGCACCAAGTTCTATGAAAATTAAAATACATCGAGCTTAACAACCTTATAAAATAAGTGATGCATTTATAGCATGATATTAATAAGTTAATAAAATTAATTACACATTTTTATTTATTTTATATTTAAAATTATTTTTTAATCATATTTATGAAAAATTATATGTAATATTGTACTCTATCTGTCCTATGTGAAGTATCTATTTTTTTCTTTTAATTTTCGTTTGGCCCACGTAATTTATCATTTATTTTTTTAAAATATAAATATAATTCAATTATATTTTAAATTTTATAATTTATAATTTTTTAAATTTTAATTAAACTATTTAGTTATTTTAATTTTAATCAATAATTATTTTTATTATAAAATAATTATTTATTAGCATAAGAGTACTAAACTATTTATTAGCATATACTGTTTTTTAAATATATAAAATCTATTTTAAATATATAAAATCTATGTAATAACATAAAAATAAAATATCAATATTATGTTAATAATTTGTTAATACAAAATTTATTATTTCAAAACGGTATAAAGTATCATAAAAATCAGTTAAACATAATAGAAATATAAATACATATTGACATGAATTCTTAAAACAACTTTTATTTTATGTAAACATAATATGTTATAGTAATTAATAAAATTTATCCAAAAATAATTAGAAGTAAAAAATATTTTTAATAAAAAAAATAAAAATTTGAGAAAGAATATATAATTATTGAGACCACGCCATGTTCATATATATTGTGGAGTATATATATAGCTAAATATAACTTAAATTAATATAATTATATATAATATAAAATATAAAGTTAAAAATATAAATATATAAAAACAATATCTTTTACAAATGACTTTTTTTTAATCCGTACTGTCTATTTTTATTTTTAATAAAAATATTATTTTTAAATATATTTAATAAAAATAAATCAATTTAATTCAATTCAATTTTTAATTTAAGGTCACTTAAAATTCCTTTAATTTTATTTCTTTTATTTATTTACATTATCTAAAATTTTATATCTATAAAATATATTTATATTATATATTTTATTGAAATATAATATTAAAAATATTTAAATATATATTTTACATGTATTTTAATTCTTACTTTTAAAATATCAAAAATATTACTTATATAAAAAATAGTTATGTGTTCGGACGAATGAAATATTATATATGTGTCTTTATTATACAAATACTCAATTTTAGCGTAACATTATTATTTTTACATTAAAAGATAGGAGTAAAATTTTCTCTACATTATTTGTGACTGTTCATTACCAACTAAAATACTCTCTCCGTCCCAATACAATAGTCTTGTTTTTCATTTTTATCGGTCCCAAAACAATAGTTTCATTTTCATAAATAACTATATCGCCATAAAACTATCCATATTTTTTCATTATTATTATATAATTGTCACTACTTTTTACACTAATATACTCACAAGGGCAAAAAAGTCATTTATTCTTACTTTTTACCGATTATTAATATAATATCAATATTTGTTAAATTTCGTGTTAAATACAATAAGAGACTATACTTTTGAGACGGAGGGAGTATTATTTTTTAAAATTTCACCGAAAAAAGTAAATTTATATTTTTAAAATAAACGGAAGGAATATTATTATTGTTTTTTTTTTTTTATATATATTATTGATGATTATTTAATCTTTTATATATATAAATATAAATGTAAGTTTGCTCTAATGAGCCCATTTACATTTGCCAGCCGCCGCACACCGGCATCATCTTTAATCTTTCTTTCTTTTTCTTCACCTTCTTCCTTTTCCTTCTCCTCCTTCTCAGCCTTTCTGCTCCGCCGCCGTGACGGTCCCATCTAGCTATCTTCTAAACCGTATACCACTTCGAACCGGCGGTTTACGGTCTGAACCGGAACCGCGACAGACGGTTCGAACAGCCTATCCGAAGCTGATGGAATAAATGCGTTTATTATACTATACTCTCCCACATCGGGAGAGTTACAAAATAGGAGCAGGAAATCATGTATATAATCAGGGTGAAGGGAACTGAGCAACATACTTACCTGGACGGGGTCAATGGGCGATCAATAAGGTCCATGGCCTGGGTTGGTGACCTCCATTGCACCTGGGAGGGGCACGCGCCTAAGGTCGGCCCAAAGCGGTCGAGCCTACGTCGTAATTTGTGGCAGCGGGGGCCTGCGTTCGCGCGGCCCCCTACCAATTATAGTTTTGCAATTTCTGAGTTCCGACTATTTATCCTTAGGTTACGCTCTTTACTTTATCTTCCCGTGGTTGTTAAATTGATTTTGTTATTGAGCATTAAAATTGGGGCATTTGTAAGTAAATTTGGTTAAATGTTGGTCTTGAAGTGATGATAATTATGTTTGGAAATCTTATCTTTGTCCCACATCGGGATTAAGTTTGGAATTCTTTGTTATCTTTAATCCCACATCGCAATGGCAGTGCAGTGAGTAGTGTACTCTCTTGTATATATAGTTGCGAGAGTGTGCTTTGTGTTTTATGGAGCTGTGCAGGAAGCACAAAGCGAAACTATTCTTTCGCCTTTTACTAAAGAATACCGTGTACTTGCTGTATTAATCAGCATACTTTAATTTTTGGAGAGGTTCTTCAATTTTTTAGAGGACCTCTACAATGCAAGTTTAATAATTTCTTTATTTTTCTTGGCATATTTATAATTTCTATGTAAAGGCTTTATTGTGTGCTTTGTTTCTCAAATTATAAGTAAAGTAAGTGATGTATTTATAACGTACTTAACTCATCCAAAAAGAAAAAGTAAAGCTTTTTGGGGAAATTTTATTTCAGTGCAGATTGTAGTATGGAGAAATAAAACTAGGGTTGTTCTCAAATAGGTTTCCACTCTTTCGAGGAGAAGAAGCCTTTACCTTTTGATAACAAGAACCCTTTAATTACTGTTTTTGGGTCAATAGTTTTGTAATCATAATTTGCAGCCAACTTTGCAATGGATGTTCTCAAATGGCACTCACCCTGCATAAAAAATGAAACACAGCCTATTTGTTAGCTGAAAACGTATGTTTATTTTTTCCCTTCCAACTCCCAGATTTTATTAGTATTTAATTTTACGTTTATCAAAATATAGCTTTTTTCATTTATAAAATATTTCATTATATATTATTTTAATATTAAATTTAAATAAAAATTTCCAAACTAAATCAAAAGATATAAAACTATTATACATCAAGCTCAACAAACCTCATAAAAAATAAAGTGCATTTACTTGCGTTTTAAATGCACGAGAGAGATATAGATATCATTTTCTTTTTATGCCGACAACAAAAAAGCTTATTCAAATATTTTAATTTTTTTTATTAAATTTATAATTACTAAATAATACATTGATTTTTTCTTAATATTAAATTTACTAAAATAATTTTTATATTATTTTTGTAGAGTATTATTTTGTTAATTTATAATTTAATAAAATATTAATAAAAAATACGCTCAATATTGATATTATTTTATAAAATATAAGATTTTATTAATTATAAAAATATTACATCTCTGTTCCACCTATTATTATTGCTCCCCGTCTCATGTCACTTTTCTTTTTTGAAAAATGAATACACACCTTAATATTATTTAAAAATTTATAATTTATAATTTTAATTAGACTAATTAGTTATTTAAATATTAATTCATAATTATTTATATTATATTATAATTATTTTCACTAATATATTTTAAATTATTTATTAATTAGACTTATTCTAAATTATCGTATTTACAATAACTTAGACATGATAAATGAAAAAAAAAAATTTTAAAAATCAAAATATAATAATATATTTAAAATAAATAACAAAACAATTTCTATACAAATATATAATCCCAATTAAATTGAGACACACGGTAAAAAGTATATGTCTCGAGAGCACCTTAAATACGCTGGGAGATAATATCTCCTATTTATTTATTTATTTTATTGATGTGACATGTGTTGTGGGTGGCCGAGAACGATAATATCCCAGACTTGCATATCAATCGCAACTTCGGGTTTGTTTGGTTATAATTTAAAAGTGGTATGAAATAAGACCTTCTTCCATCTCGGGGAGATACTCGTTTGTTTAGCATGGGACTAGGTATAGTAGTCATATCCATTTTACTTAAGTTATTCAGTAATTCCTTTTAGCTATCATTTTATTCTAGCTTATCTTAGTATTGGTGTTTTTTTATGGATCGCCGTTTCAAGTCTTGCTCCCGTTGGACTTCTGATGTCGGGATATAGATCAAATAATAAATATTCTTTTTTAGGTGGGTTAAGGGGTGCTGTTCAATCAATTAGTTATGAAAGTTAAATTTGAGTTTTTATTTAAATAATATTTTTATTGAAAACTGTGCAAATAAATAGTATTTGATTTTGATTTGAAATAAAAGAACAAACTCTTCATTTTTTTTAGTATGCATTTTAGTAAAAATATACTTCATCCGTTTGTCAAATAGTAAATATTTACATTATATTAGTTAATTATGATATAAAATAAAAATATTTTAAATAAAATACTAGAGCGTGTTTCTTTGACTCACGTTTCCAAACTTTACTGAAATGACACTATGGAGTGAAATTTGTCCGCGAAACTCTTCTTACGATCGACACCCTTTGTTCTTTTTTTTGTCCTTTTGCATCATAAGTCAAAGAAAAAATTGATATACAAGATTGTTAGAATATGAAACATAAATTCTCTATTTTAATTATAAGAATACGTACATATTTATAGTGATATACAAATCGTCTAAATAAGGCAAGAATTCTACGACTCTATTAAATAAAATAACTACCATAAATATAATATATTGCTTCTAAATATATTTTAACATCCTTTCTCAAACTCAAAATATGATCGAACGAACTTGAATTTGTCAGAAACGACCAAAAAAGATATAGCCGAGATCTTCCACGTACAAATTTAAATTCGCCAAGATTGACTACCGTCCACTAGATCAGAGTCAGAAGCAGAACTCTCAACACCGTTAGAGTTGGAAACAGGACTCGCTCGTTCACAACGGAACTAGAGTTGGAAACATGACTCACTCAATCTATAAAGCTAGAGTCGGAAACAAGACTCGCTCGTTCATAACAGAGTTAGAGTCGGAAACAGGACTCACTCAATCTATAAAGCTAGAGTCGGAAACAAGACTCGCTCGTTCATAACAGAGTTAGAGTCGGAAACAGGACTCGCTCGCTCTCAATAGAGTTAGAGTCGAAAACAGGACTTTCAACGGTGTAGAGTCGAAAGTAGACTCTGTTAGTGGAGTAGTAGAGACGGAGACGACATGGAAATAACAACATCATCGTGGATAGAAGCAAATCTATCAATAAAATATAAAAATATATACGGGATATAACAGGTCATAAATGTACCCGGAGACAATTTAACTCTGATACCATATTAGAATATGAAACTGAAATTCCTTATTTCAATCATAAGAAGACGTACATATTTATAGTGTACAAATAGTCTAAATAAGACAAGAATCCTACGAATTTCTTAAATAAGATAACTATCATAAATATAATATATTGCTTTCTAAATATATTTTAACAAGGATAAATATAGTGTCTTTATTTGGGGGTTTCGATTTTGAGTTGTGATTTGAACAATAAAAAATTTAAATGAAAATAGTTGTATAATATGATATAAATAAGTATTGATGTGAAATTTCGAATGTAAAATTGATTTTTTTATAATATAAAAAATAAAAATAGATGTTTGATTAAATATTTTTGGAGAAAAAAATTTGTGTAGTACAAAATTTTCAAAATCCTTCAAAATTTTTGCTGTCAAAAATTTTTAGAAGAAATAAAAAGAAGAAAAAAAAAGAAAAAAAGATGAAGATGGTAGAAATGAAGGGGAATAACGTGGATGAAATTAAATGAGATTATATAAAAAAAATTATAATAAAAATTTATAATCATCAATAATATATAATCAATTAAAATAATATTATTATTAATAAAAAAATTTAATTTATTTAATCTAATATAATAAATATATGAAAACATTATTCCTAAAAATTCTTCAAATTTAATAATAATACATGAATACAGTCGAATATAATACATGAATATTGTTGCAGCAAAATGTGGTATAAAGAAGTAAGCACTTTGAAATCAATTTAAATTGAAGTTCATCCAAAAGAACACAATATATTAAGAAAAATCCGGATAATGCATCGTAATAATGAGACAAGAATATGTTTTAATTCAAACAAAATGAACATATAAAAGTGACTACTTTGAATATCTGTCTGACGTATTAGTGCTCATCACAACGTTCGAATAGTAAAACCATTACTTTATCTTTTGCTTCATTTGAGCAATATCTGTTAGCGTTTATTTATTGTTGTATTAAAATACTTATATTATTATTAATTAAATTTCATTAATTTTAGCATTTACGTGTACATACGGATCATTATATTATATTATTTAGTATGATATTTGATAAGATTAAATACAAAATTCAGCATTGTTTACACTATGTGAAAGTATTTTAAATTTCAATTAAATACATATTTTTTTGATGTTTCTCAACATTTAATATATACATTATTCGTAGATTAATATACTTTATAATGAAAATTCTAATTTAAATTATATGTTAAAATACTTAAAACTATTGCTAATCATGTGAAAGTATTTTAACATAGAGCATTCATTGTTGTATTAATACTTAGATTATTGTTAATTGAAATAAATTAGCATCTCACATTGATTTCAGAATTTATATGTGTATAAAAAATCATATTATACAATAGAATTCAATACAATATTTGATTGAATTAAATACAAATATTAGTTATTCCTAAAAAAAAAAAAAAAGATGGACGGTATATATCAAAATTAGCACCCGGAAGATAAGTAATTTCATCAGCAGGGAATCCACCACTATATAATATATATATATTTTTCTCATATCCAAAAAAAATTAATACTATAGTCGCTAAATGGGGAAATAAAATCAGTCCTTATTTATACATGGAATTCTTCGGTACGAGATGAGCCACTTAGAGTCATTGATACTGAATTAATTGAACGCATATTTAAGGTCATGTTCAACCAACGAATTCTATTTATGCAATTTTAATTTCAAAATTGCAGTTTCTATAGTATTTTTTTACTCAGCCCAAAACTCTATTTTCTACTCAAAAAAAATATTCTTTTGGTGTGTTAGTTTGAGAGTTTGGATTTTGAGTTAGAGTTTTGAATATTAAAAATTTTAAATTTATATAACGGTGTAATGTGATATAAATATGTATTCATGTAATATTTTTAATGTAAAATTAATTTTTAATATAATATAAAAAATAAAAAAAGATATTTAATTTGATATTTTTTGGAGAGAAAAAATTGATGAATAGTAGGAATCCGATGAAATATGTCAAACGAACATACCCTTCAAATATTTCATTTTATATATCATTTTAAACCAAATTTTATATTTATAATTAACAGTTTTTCTAAAGAAAAATATAAAAATTATAAAACTAAAAGAATTAATATGCAAAAATTCAAAAAAAAGAAAAAGAAAAAACTACAACAATAATTGAAGTAGACCAACTCCATTTCCGCACAGTGTTGTATTGGAGATGCTCTAGTA